TCCACTTCCTGTCAGCTGGTTTCATCATGAAGTCCACTTCCTGTCAGCTGGTTTCGTCATGAAGTCCACTTCCTGTCAGCTGGTTTCGTCATTAAGTCCACTTCCTGTCAGCTGGTTTCGTCATGAAGTCCACTTCCTGTCAGCTGGTTTCATCATGAAGTCCACTTCCTGTCAGCTGGTTTCGTCATGAAGTCCACTTCCTGTCAGCTGGTTTCATCATGAAGTCCACTTCCTGTCAGATGAGTTTCATCATGAAGTCCACTTCCTGTCAGCTGGTTTCATCATGAAGTCCACTTCCTGTCAGCTGGTTTCGTCATGAAGTCCACTTCCTGTCAGCTGGTTTCGTCATTAAGTCCACTTCCTGTCAGCTGGTTTCGTCATGAAGTCCACTTCCTGTCAGCTGAGTTTCGTCATGAAGTCCACTTCCTGTCAGATGAGTTTTATCTCAGCTTCTTCTTCGAGGCTCTAAATTTCCCAACAGTCTCCTGAATCTGTTAACATCTGCTGAAGGTTCAGGAAGGGCTTTTAATTTGACAAGGTCTCTTCACTTCCTGTCAGTGACCATGATGGACCGCAGCGGGTCGGTTTGACAGCACTCACTGGACAGAACTCATCTGTCCCCTCAGATGGAAAAAAACTGGTTCTGAAGTTCAGGGACGACCCAGGAACCAACAGGACTCGAGCTGGACCACCAGAGACTTGGTCCTCAGAAAGACCAACATCACTGGACACCCTACCAGACCGGTCTGAGCCCGGAGTAACGAAACCACACCTGGGGCCACAGGCGCCTGAGGACCAGCGGAGACCCTGACCGGAGACAGAGACCAGGAAGTGATCTTTGTTGGGCTCAAGAGAAAACCCAAAATAAACAGTTTATTCGTAAAAAGAGACCGACGGGTCCAGAAGAACCTCCAGGACGAGTTAATGACCTTCAGACTGACTCGGTTCTGTTTGTTGACCTGGACGGGTCAGAGCCAGGACTTCTTGCTGGTCCTTAAGTTCCGTCTCTTCAAATCTAATGCTCCACTTCTTGTTCTAAAGTGGTCCAGAACCGGGCCCTGCAGAACCTCCACCGGAACGTTAACATTCAAAACAAACCCAGTGTTCTGTTCAGCGTCTCCTTAGTAGGGGACACATGTCCACCAATCAGCCCGGTCTCCTCTGGTCCTGGATCATGTTCTCCCAGGAGGACCTGGAGACCTCGATGCAGCACGGATGATTCTGGACCTCGTGAAGAAACCGGGCCAGCGGCTCGGTTCCATCGTTTGAGGTTCCTAAAGTTTCCTGAAGCTCCAGTTCGTCCTCTGGTTAGACTCGTCCTGTCCTCGTCCGCCTCAGCTGAATCCTGGACACTGAGAATAAAACACCACAGATTACAGAGATTACAGATTATAAATTGTGTGCGTGATGACTTTTGTAACTTTATGGTTTTTAAATTATTCTCCTTTATTGACTCAAATGAAGATATTTCTGAATTCCTTGATGAACTTTATTTTGTTCTGCTCCAACAGTCCGTTTGTCTTCTGCTACTTTTAGCTCGTACCTCCTAATACTTTTAGCTCGTACCTTCTGCTACTTTTAGCTCGTACCTCCTGCTACTTTTAGCTCGTACCTCCTGCTACTTTTAGCTCGTACCTCCTGCTACTTTTAGCTCGTACCTCCTGCTACTTTTAGCTCGTACCTCCTGCTACTTTTAGCTTGTACCTCCTGCTACTTTTAGCTCGTATCTTCTGCTACTATTAGCTCGTATCTTCTGCTACTCTTAGCTCATATCTTCTGCTACTCTTAGCTCATATCTTCTGCTACTCTTAGCTCATATCTAGCCTTTAGGCACGTCCAGCTAGCTTCTGCAAACTTTTAGCTACCGTTTTGCTACTTTCAGGGAGGATTCTTTCGGCTTTCAGATTAAACTGAAACGTGTTCCGTTTTAAAACAGTTTTAGCTTCTTCAGCACATTTCGGCTGTTGTTTGGCGCTCGCGCTGTTTTTTCTTTACCTGAACTGTCGGCTCCAGAATCAGGAGCTCTGAGTAGCAAGAGACAACATGAAGCCCAAGGAAGTCTTCAGACGGCTTAGAGACTGAGTTTTGAAGTACTGAGGGTTATAAAACCGTCCCACAGAGTCCAGACCTGGTCCAGCTGAGGACCTCTGGTCTGAGTTGAAGGCGTTCTCTAAAGTTTTTAATTTGTTCTGGACATTTTAAATTTATTTTTTACATCTTGGTTGTGGATGTTTTTGAACTTGATGAATATTTTGAACATCACTTGAAGTTTGGACCCTACCTTCATCTTCCTCTCCTCAGACCTGATTCTTCCTCACCTCGGCCCTCTGCATCTCCGGCACTGTTGTCATGGGAACAGAACCAGAACCAGAACATCAGTCTGACCCAAATGAACAACAGAAATATTTAAAGCAGGTTTGAAAAGTTCAGTTCAAGAGTCCAGAGACGACAAATTATTTTACTACAAACTGTTTGTCTCCAACGTATCAGAGGTTCAGAGCCACTTCCTGACAGTCGAAGTCCAGGGATCGTTTCCCCCAAAAGAAGGCGGGGCTTCGAGGCTCCACCCCCATGTTTGACCCAGACCTACATTTCCATCAGACTTCCTGGTTTCTTACGGCGACCCGACGCAGCTGAGCCTCTGATTGGCTCCTTGAGCTCAACGTTTCACCCATCACTGATGTCTTGTGGGTAATGTAGTTCATAGGATTTGGTCGTAGTGTACAGCTGGTAACGCCGCAGCACGCCAAGGACAAACATTTAAAGTACTGGTGCCGAGTACCAGAGAGTACCGGCCCACTTGGAGCAGAAAACTAAATATACAACAAAGAATTGATTCATTCGTCGAGGGAGGACGTCATGTGTTCCTCAAAGAAATAAATAAATAAAACGTAGAAATAGAAAAACAAAGACGTGGAAACAAACACCCGTGATGTCACTTCCTGTTACCTCGATGCAGCGAGTAGATCTTGATGCGACTCTTGTCCAGCTCGGAGAAGGACCTGCCGTCGGCGGCGGGGTCAGAGGTCACGGGGTTCTGGGAGCCCACCTCACAGGTCAGAGCCACGATGGGATTCTTCTCTGAGATCAGATGCATCCGGGTGCTCCTCTGAAACAAGAAGCAAACTGTCACAATAAAACTACTCAGGCTTTTAAAATAAGAGCACAAAAACACAGGTCTGTCTATTTTCATCATTCAAGATTAAAAACTTATTTTTATCGTCTAAATCCTCGTTTACAGAAAATATTTAGTCATTTATGACGAGGAATAAAAACATTGAGCTGAAGCTCAAAGAAAAATCATTTTACTTTGTTAATCTCTCAGAAGAGCCATTTGTTGTTGGAGGAAGTAAAAAGAACCAGAGAAATTACGTTTCCTGCCAAAATGCAGCTTGTTGCAGAAGAACTTGCTGAAAAACAGCTGAAATTAGCTAAAAACATGCTGAAATTAGCTAAAAACATGCTGAAATTAGCTAAAAACAGTTGAAATTAGCTAAAAACATGCTGAAATTAGCTAAAAACAGCTGAAATTAGCTAAAAACAGTTGAAATTAGCTAAAAACAGCTGAAATGTAGCTGAAACGGATGAGCAAGCCCAAGTCAGCAGAAGAAAGCAGAAAAAAATCAGGTCTCTCTTGTAAATGAGTCCACGAGGCTCAATGAGATTAAACTGTTTAAATAAAGGTTGAATGAATGAATGTAGCTAAAATTACCATGAAAAACTTGAATTTATACAAAAACAGCTAAAATTTGCTAAAAAAAAAAAAAAAAGCTAAAAATGTAGCTGAAAAGGTAGAACAAGCTTAAATGTAAAAAAACAAACTAAAAGAACACCTTAGGCCAAAAGAAGCAGAAAAAAAGGCTCAAAGTGGAAATTTTCTCAAAAAAGCTGAAATTAGCAACAAACAAAAAACCAACAACAACAACTGAATAGTAGCTAAAAGGCAGAAAGAAGCTTGAAGGAAGTGGAGGGAGCATAATAAAGTTGAAATGAGTGCAAAAAATGTGGAATTAGCAAAAAAAAAAAAAAAGCTTAAATTAGCATAAAAACAGCTAAATAGAAGCTGAAATAATAAAAAAACTGAAACTTGCAGAAATAGGCTGAAAGGAGCATAAAGAAGTGAGAAGAAGCATAAAAATGTTGTAGTTAGCAGAACAAAGCTGAAAGGAGCACAAAATAGCTGAAAGTAGCTGAAGGTAGCTGAAGGTAGTTTAAATGTGCAGCAGGAAGCTGAAAGAAGCTGAAGCAGAAGAAAATGTGAAAGGAGCAGTAAAAGGTTGTAAACACATCTGAAGATCTGAAGGATGGATGAGAAATAAAAGGTCAGAAAAGGCTAAAATATTTCAAACAGCTAAAGTTGCACCAATACCAAAAGCAGGATTGTCCTGAAAGAGCCGAACGTTGTGGTTCATGATTAGTTGAATTAAAAACTGCGGGACGAGACTCGAGCTGAAAATCGTACAGAAGGAAAATGGATGACGACAGAGCGAGCGCTTCAGAAACGTTCACACAATAAGAACCAGACTCAAGTCTCTCCTGCGTCCCGTCCCTGAAGAAAGTTCAGCTTCACCTGATCGGGCGGCGGCACGTTGAGCTTCGTCCCCCGCGGAGCTTTGACCACGATCACCGTCTGCTCCTGGAGGTCTCGGAGGCGGGCGATGTCCTCCAGGGTCACATACGCCGACGTACAGAGGAAGTCAAGGAAAACAACTTCCTGTCTTTGAGACAAACTCTGCACGGTGGTTCAGATTCACCTCAGACAAAGTAACGTGGTTCTAACAGGACGAGGGACTGAGGACCTGGACAAAACCTCTGTGACCTTTGACCTCCGACAGACGTGGAAGGATATGCAGCGCTCTGCGCGTCGTCCGTCAGGCTGAAGAGCTGCTCCGCGCAGGTCCTGATGAGGTGGTCCAGCTTGTTCTCCACCTGCTTCAGCTTCTCCAGCGCCACCAGGAACCGGAGCGGGTTCCTGAACAGGAAGCTGCAGATCCAGTCGGGTCCTCTGAAAAACCAGATCAAACAGATCCAGGGTTTGTGTTTCTTTAAAATAATCCAGAACAAGATGTTTGATTCAGAGGTTAAATTAAAATAAAGACAAATAAAAAGAGAATTAAAGCTAAAAGTAGCATTAGAAGCAAAGAGGAACAAATGAGTTCATGTACGAGGTCAGAAAATAAGAAAAATAATCTGAATTACTGCCGGTCTACCGAGCGCAGCCGAAAATAAGCCGCGCACACTAAATTAAAAAAATCATTTTGTTCATATATAAGGTGAAGCCCACAGGTCGTCATGACAACCACCTCCCTCGTGTTCAGTGTGTGTTGGGCCATGAGTGAGTGGTAGATGTCCTGAAGATCTGTGGGCTTCACCCCCCCCGGGGGGGGCAGCTACTGTGACGAAGCTAAATGTTTTTGTGACTGGACGCGTTAGCTCGTCAAATAAAATAATTAAATCCATAAATTATCCAGAGCGCTGCATCAGCTGCAGGTTCCCCCGGGCGCCTGATGCAGCGCTCTGCTCCACACAGAGAGCTGTGGCAGCTCCGTGTCAGGAAGCACATCCAGGGTTCAAACCTGTGGAAAAATGAGCTCCTTACAGATCATAAAGTACGTCACAGTCCCAGGTCTGTGACCTCACAGCTCCTCTGATCTGTTCGGGAACCACAACTGATCCACTTACACCCACTTGACCCGGGTCCCCATCCTTTGGACCATGCTGAGGCCGCGCAGGACGCTGACGATGTTGTAGACCCGGCGTGTCGAGGTCAGCAAGCTCGCGGCCACCGCCTCGATGTCCACGACCCTGTCAGGAGACGCCATCACGAGCTCCAGGAAACCTCGAGTCAGCAGCGACAGAGGAGTATCTGAACAGAGAACCCAGCAGAACCAGAACCATTTAGAGACAACAACTGTGAGGAAGTACTCAACCTTCCATCCCCTTCAACGGCCTCGTGCAACAGGCAACAACTTTTCATCGTCTCTTTTTTAAAGAAATGAAAAACAGTTTCAAAGTTCGTTCAAATGTGTAAAACACAAATATTCTACTTCCTGTGCCGCGTCTCACTTCCTGTGCCGCGTCTCACTTCCTGTGCCGCGTCTCACTTCCTGTGCTGTGTCTCACTTCCTGTGCTGCGTCTCACTTCCTGTGCTGCGTCTCACTTCCTGTGCTGCGTCTCACTTCCTGTGCTGCGTCTCACTTCCTGTGCTGTGTCTCACTTCCTTCCCCAGAGTTAAATCAGTTAAAGATGTAAAAGTGATTTGAAATCAGTTCGGGAGTTGCAGATGCTTCCAGGTGTGACTCACCTGCCTTGATCATCCTGCCAGATGTTTCAGCTCGAGGAGAATCACTGAAGACAAAAACAAACCTTCAGACGTCTCCTCATCAAAAAGGACCATAAATTTAAATGTGGAGCTGTGGTTTGTTACCGGGTCTTCTGAGGTTCTGCTGGACTCTCAGCTCCACCGTCTGGATCCTGGAAGAATGAGTTATTAAACCAAAAGAATGGAGTTAAAAAGTGCAACTGGGTCACAGAAGCTCCTCTTTGAACAAAAACTGACTCCAGACCTGCTCTTGTGGATCCGGTCCAGCCTCCTCTTCACCTTCCTCCTCACAGCCTCCGGCGAGCCACTGCTCCTCCTCCTGAAGGGCCTCGGTGCTCCAGGGACTGAACAGGCCCCCTGGTCCGTCCAGATAAGGGGGCATGAGGGGAATGGCGTCGCTGCTGACGCCAGTTTTAGAGATGTCCTCTGGCAGGAAGTGGTCTTCGCAGATGACGTGCTGCTCTGAGCGGTCCTTGTCGGACTCTCTGAGCGCTGCCAGCCACACCTGAAACATCATAAACACGTCAGTCAGGGTACGAGATCAGAACCAGAACCAGTTTTAGTCGTTGCACCGAAGCACAACAAAATTACATTTCAGTACAGCCCATAAAAAACAGACACGGGGAGACGGACTTGTCTGAGGCCGCAGCCTCAGGAGGCGCTGCCTTTTCCTTTAGAAAACAGAAACACGAGGGGAGGTATAAAAATATCAGATCGTGTGAAAGTTGCAAAAAAGACGTCAGCACAGAAACAGCAGCACACTAATGACTAGTGGTGTCACGGTACACGTGGGCGTATTGAACCGTTTGTTATTTTTTCACTCATTACATTTTATTAACGAGAGATTATGCACAGCGGAACTAAAGTTCCTAAGTGTGTTTCAGCACGGCGCTATTATCTTGCAGCACACTAGCATTAGCAGCCTAGCATCTCGTTGTGGTCTCCTGTTTGGGAATATTGTTAAATTCTTGTTAAAAGACAAGTGAACGAATCCAAAACTGTGTGTCGACGTTGTTTCACGGATGTAACAAGTGGATTGTTAGTTCAGGTTATGTTCCCAGGGGGATATATTTGGGTGTGACACAGGCTGAGAAAGGGCTAGGGAGATGCACTTGTTATGTAGTTCTATACTGCTACAATAAAGTTTATAGTAAGCAACAATACTTTAACTGTCCATTCTGTATAGTTGGATGAAGACAGAACAGAAACAATGGAGATTGGATCTGCAACAGCAACACATCAAACTTGTTAACGCTCTTGAAACGACATCATCCAACCGTGAACGTAGTTTGGTGCACCGACCGGTAACAGCGGCATTTAAACAACTTTTATCAGGTCATTCAGATCGGTCCAAAGCAACAACACAAGATGTAGGAGTTTTAAAGCTCTGGATCTACGTCAGAACGTTGTTGATGCGCCGGCTTTAAAGTTGTTGAGCTCCGCTGCGACATCCATCACGTCAACACTTCAGCCAAAAAGTTGTAGCAGCACTTTATGAAAAAGATTAAACTGATATTGTCAACAAGCCCGACCCCAGATTTAAAGCTCTGATGATGAGCGAGATTCAACCACCTCATATGATGCCGGCGCAAGATGAGGTATTGTTATTGTATTACTGTGATCTAATTAACTTTTTTAACTTAAAATTATAATCTTATTAACTCTTTTTTTTATCTCTGTTGTTTGCGGTCTGAGGATAGCAGCTGAGTCTTCTTCATCCACCAGATCACCTTCAGCTAAGAAGTCTGTAATGACTGAACTGGTTTACTTGGCATATTTTCAAAATAAACATTTTTAAATCTTTATTTTGGCTTTTTTGTACCGAAAATTAACCGATCCGAGCCCTCCCTGAAACTGAACCGAAATGTGATTTTAGCGTACCGTTACACCCCTACTGGACGTGTGACTCGAAAAGGAAGAAGTGGGTAAAGATGATTGATTGATTATTTGTTCCTTGAGTTTTATTTTATTTTAGAAAATCCAGGCAACTAAGCTAATACTGGTAATTTAAGTTACAGAATGTTGTGCACTCCTGTATTTGTTCCTATTTTTGGTATAAATATAAAATGATGCAAAAAGATTTTGAAACTGTAAAAAAACTAAAATTATTGTTTTAAATAAATGTTCTATTTGTTTACATTGTTGTTGTTTATTCTTTTCAGCGTGTCAGTTACATAACAAACAAAATTTATGATCATTTCAATAAAAAAATCGTTTCTGAATCGAAAAATAGAGTTTGGATCGAATTGAGACACCAAAAATCGGAATCGAATCAATTTGCCAGACACAGAGATTCACAAACCTACAATAAGGTCATCCAGACAGTTCCTTGTAGGTTATTTAAAAAAAAAAACGTTTCGACCTTCATCCAAAGGACTTAGTCAGTCCCAGGAGCTACAAGAACCTCAGTCCCACAAGCAGCAGCTCACACAGTGGACCAACCAGTTAGATGGTGATAAGCTGGTTTCTGGAGTCCTCCCCTTCGACTCCTCTGAGGCAGACATGGCTGAAGTATCCTGATGCATCATCATCCTGATGATGGCTGAAGTGGTTCAAAACATCAAAGCTCAACAATCCAGGTAACAAATCCATGGACGAAGAACGAAACGTTTCAGCAGAAAATAAAAAGGAACCGTCCAGATGACCTGACGCAACTGAACTTGATGTTTCATTTGCTAATGTTCCAACATGCCAACTCTTTTACACGCTAGTTATTTTACAAGCTAACGTTTCCGCGTGATGCTAATCACGTGGTACTTCTCTGTATGCTAACCAGTCAACATGCTACTTCCTGTTAGCAACTACAAGTTTCAGCTACTTGCTTTTACTCATCTTACCAAACCATTTTACTAATAAAACACTTAAACAGCAACAAGGCCAACCAAAGAGCTGCACAGCAGAAACAAGCGAGCACAGAACGGAACGGAGGAAGACAGGAAGTAAACAAATGACTAACATTGTGGAAGAGACAGGATGAAAACCACCGGATGTTTGGAGGAAAAACCTTGGCGGGTAATCTAACACCGCTACCTTCATTAAACTTTAAAGTTAAGAAACGTTAACGTTAGAGACTTGAAGCAAAACACGAGGAAAAACAAAAGAGAAACACGCTTGGGCTCCGACTACTTCCAGGAGTCTTCCGTACCTTCACCCGGTCCGGGTCTTTGGGGAACCTGAAGAACCTCCGCGCGGGTCGGTGGGGCGCGAACCGGTTGTAGGGCACAATGCGGTTCGGACAGCCCGAGACGACGCACTTCCCCATACCGACCCGGTTCTGCTCGGTCCGGACACAAGAACTCAGAAACAGAACCACCAGAACACTCTGCGACTCCGTTCATCAAACGACGGCTGTTTACGTCATCACGCAGAGAAAAGCCGGAAGTAGTCACTACCTACCGGAAGTGCGCAAACCAAATCATTCCTTGTACTTTTGTTTCTGCAGGTCGGTCTCTCTGAGCCTCTGGGACTCCTTTACAACAGAGACCTGATTTAACAGAGTGATGACAACCGTGGACAATCATAAAAGATTACAAATTGAGAACAAATGAAAGAAAATGGTATTTTATAAACAAAAACATCTAGGTTGTAAAGCGATATAAAATAAAAACAGGAACGTGTCTGTGTTGGTTCTTGCAGGAACTTATCAGATGTTTGAAGCCACTTAGAGAGGTCAAAGGTCGAGAGCTTCAGGTCTTTTTACAAGATATTCCAGGAAACAGGAGCGGAGTAGGAGAAGGTCCTTTAGTCTAGTTCAGTCCTCACTGAGGGAACACTGCAGGTAATGATGTCCTGAGAGCGCACGCTGTAGCTGCACTCACACAGAGACATGTAGGAGGAGATGTATGAAGGCAGCAGACCAAGAAGAAGAAAATAAAAGCACTTTCTTTCAAAATTATTCTAGAAAAGTACAGTAACAACTTAAATGTAGGAAGTCAATGCAAGAAATAATCCAGGGAAATTTTTGTGAGATTAAGTAAAAAAAGCAGGTAATTCAATAAATTTAAAAAAGGAAATAAATAGGCTTATGGCCATCAGGGTGCTAACGATCCACTGTTCGGCTGATGGTCCTCCATCATCATGTGAGCAGCTGGTTCTGGATGTCAACAACAAACTGGTTGATCCACCATGAGAAGATGCTGTTTATAAGACTGAGTCTGTTGCAGCTCCTCAGACTGAAGAAGTCCTTTGGATAAAAGACAAAATGTTTCTACAAGTTTTTATTTTTTGAATCTGTCCAGAGGACCTGACTTAACTGTTAAATGGGCTTATGAAATATTTTCATGATTTTACATTTATTTGTATGATCACATTTAACCTGTACGAGTGTTCACTTTTAAAAACGTGACCGTAAAAGATTGGAGGATAGAAGATCTTTATTTTTATTCACAGAAGATGGTTCAGTGTTAAAAGACAAAGGAAACACATAAAGAGCATGGTCCTGAAGGTCCACTTTAATCCAACACACCTGATGAACACCAGACTTCTGCTGAACTTGGTGACCTGCAGAAGAGACGTTAAAGCACCTGCTTCAGGTGTGTTGGAGCAGGACACCGTCTAAGACCTGCTGGATGGAGAGTCCTGAGGACCAGGGTTGGGATCATGTTTCAAAAGATCGACCTGAGTCTTACTGAGACATTTCTGAGTCCTTTCCCTCCACGAGGAGCCTTCATGAACATGCAGGATCTATCTACTGCAGGTGTCCATCCAGTTCTTGAAGGAATGCATATCGCCCGCCGTGCCCGTCAAAGATCTCCCGCTGGTTCTTACAGTGTGTTGGAGGACTGGACCATGTCAAACCCTTACTCAGAATCTAAAAACGAGACCGAGCTATGTTTGTGTTTGCTCAGGTCGGTTAGCGGTGGCGGTCGTCTTGAATCTGGTTTAAACCATGAAACGGTTTTATTTTCATCCAGAAGCAGAAGAATAAATGTTTTATTGGGCTCTTAGAAAAGGTTCAATCAGGTCATCGGGACAGTTTCAGTTTGAAACGTTTCCTCTGAAAGACTTCACCGGTCTGAGGCCTGCCACCAAGGTCCGTCTCAGAAACCTCCCTGATGTTTCAAGCAGCCCCTGCTGAACCCCCGGACGCTGACCGGTCTGGGCGGCAGGTCTCAGACTGACCAAGTCTTTCAGATGAAACACGAAACGTTTCAAACAGAAACTGCCGATGATTGAACCTCGTTGTACTCAACTCCCTGGATGACTGCGACACAAACTTTATTAACTGGACTCTTCTTCAGAAAAGTCACGGAGTGAAACCGCCCGGAGCTCTTCTCTTCAACTTGAGCCCAAACGTTTGTTCGATAAACGCTCGGACTTTATGGAACATTTTTTAATGTTATTTATATTTCTGCGATTTTACAAGAACAAAAACACAAAGAAAACAATGACTCTTTATTGAGCTTTAAAATAATTATCGTCCATCAACGTTTTATTCATGATTGAAAGTTTCTAAATATTCTGAGTGAATATATTAAAATGAATATGTTGTTGTTTGATGTGAGTTTATAGAAAGAAACGAGACTTGGTCTTCGTCACGTCAGGACCACCTCAGTCATGGACCTGGACCCTGCAGAACCTGTTGAAGGACTGATCCGAGATCAGAAGGTCAGAATCTGCAGAGCTGGAGTTAAAACCAACAATGACCAAGGATGGAATTATTCTGCTGTTTTTTATATTTACAGATATTTACAAAACCTAAAGATCAACTTTTCCTGTGACGCTGGAGCCGTGGTCAAACTAACAACTCTTTTCTGGCACCTGCAGTCCTGTCTCCTGTCTTGTTGTCCTTGTCTCTGTCTCCAGAGCAGCTGGTCTCACCACCCTGCTCCATTAACAGATGACATCACATCATGTTCAGGTGCCAAGTCGTTATTATGAATTACTTATTCATCTGCCCTTCTAACAGTTTCAACAACATATTTGTAGCAACCGACTGTGGTGACGTGTTGTCCTCCTGCTTTAGAGTTATCAGCTGCTTTGACACCGTGGACCATAACATCTTGTCGTTTGAAGCAATGTGGGGGGGTCAGCCGTGCAGCACTGGTCTGGTTTAGGTCCTACTTAGGGGAGCGTACTTTCTGTGTCTGCCTTGGTGACCACGTGTCCTCTGCTGCTCTTTTGTGGGGGGTTCCACAGGGCTCAGTCTTAGGCCCCCTCCTCTTCACGCTGTACCTGCTCCCTCTTGGCTCCATTTTTAGAAAATATGGGGTCTCCTTTAATTTTTATGCAGATGATCCACAGATATATGTCCCACTAAAAAAAAAGGACTAACTCTGTGGCTCCTCTGTCTTCATGTCTGGAGGACATCAAAGCCTGGATGGCTGTGAACTTCTTAAAGTTCAATGAGGGAAAGACTGAGGTGATGGTCTTTGGAAGCTCCACTGAGACTCCCAGTGCAGATGTTGGTTCCTTGGTCCAGTACATCAGGCCAGCTGTTACAAACCTGGGGGTCAGTTCCATCTGAGGCAGCTGAAGTGAAGCTGATTCTTTCTCAGCAGCGTTTCAAACAGTAGTTCAGGTCTTTGTGACCTCTCAGCTGGACGACTGTAACTCTCTACAGGAACCAGTGACTCGTGTGTCTCTCAGCGTCAGAGGGTCCAGACCGCTGCTGCACAGCTTTTAACTGACACATGAAGGTTTGACCACATCTCTCCTGTTTTATCCTCCCTGCACTGGCTGAACCTTCCAGGATTCATTTTAAATAATTTTATTTGTTTTTAAAGCTCTTAATGGACTGGCCCCGCCCTATCTGTCCGAGCAGCTGCATCACCTCTGGATCCCTCAGGTCATGTGACCAGCTGCTCCTGAGTGTGAGCTCAGAGGAGACCGTGCTGCTGCAGCTCCTAAACTGTGGAACGACCTTCAGTGAACATCAGACTCTTCCCCGTCTGTTTTTAAACCCTTCTTAAAACCATCTCTTCTCCATGACCTCTGACCTCTGACCCCATCTGACATGTTGACCTGTAATTATTTTAATCAGTTTTATTATCTGACTGTATGATTGTTGTACTGTGTGTACAGCACTTTGGTCCTGTGGGTGTTTAAAGTCTATCAATAAAGCTGATGTGGAAAAGCATGTGATAATATGAGAAGCTAAGTCTTAATAGCTTATAATTTGTTGGGGTTGAGTTAAAATTTTGAGCAGAGAGTTCTTATTTTTGGGATGTTGGAACAAGTTCCTAAAGCTAAACAAACCAAACCTGCGTGACCTTCACTAAGGTCACCTTCCTGCTGGCGTCGGACACCCAGAGATTCCCGTTCAACGAGTTTTTGTCCAGTTCAAGTTTACAGAAATCTGAAAACTGCAGCAGTTAGACACGGACTGACGGAGTTAGTCCTCTACCAAGTGTTCAGTCAAACTTACATTTCTTCAGATCCGGTTTGAGCCTCTGCTCTCCTTCATGGTCCAACCTGCAGGAAGAAACATCAAAGTAAACCATGACGTCGTCTGTAAACCGTTAAACATGAAGTAGTAATGGTCCAACCTGCAGGAA